TTCTTCTTCATTGTATTTTAGTTTTCCTCCTTCATGCTGTTTTTCATCCTATTATTTTTATCTTCCCTGTTTCCTATTTAATGTTATTTTTAGAACCCGTTTGGTCTCCCTCCGTTCGACGCAGTCCAGCGGCTTCTTCCATTGAACAACCCACCAACGTCACTAGGAGCGTCAGAAGCACCGACGACAGCTCAATTACCGTGCGTCTGCTGCTATGAGTACACTTACTGTCTATTCCTATTTAGTATAAACATGCTAATGGTCTATCACTCATACTGCGCTGTGATTGGCTACTCTACTAATGGTCTGATTTGTGATAGACCACTCGCGGGAAAATCAAAATAATTAAATTATAAATTATTTAAAGGATATTTCAATTTGTTTTCATTATTTGACCGATTAGTATGTTTATACTAATACAATTAGACCTCTCGGCCTCGTGGACTACGAGCTTATAGCCCATTCGCTCATGGGCTATTAGCTCGTAGTCCACTCGACCTCGAGGTCTAATTGTTAAATGGAAATGATAGATGACAAAATCACCTATTTGGTCGTAATTTGCTTCTTTTCTTTGTCTCTTGTTCGTTAAAAAAACTAATTACATTATATTAGTGTTGTGATTCAATGACCTTTTTGATTATATGGAATATTTAGTCATGTAAAAACACGAAACAGTATTATAGGTATTCAATATTGACGGGCGACAAACTAAGACCAGTAAACTACATTAAATTAGAAAGAAAGTGGGTCGTGGGTCTCAGTTAGACTTCAATAKCCACAATGCTTTTCGGTCGTATAGAAATATTTCTAATTAAGTAATGGCGGCTGAAGTAGTCTTCTTATTTTGATATAGGACAACGACATTGGATGCAAGTTCTATGCCATCAGATGTAAGTTCAAATTATAAACCTTATTCTCATTGGCTGCCATATGGTAATTTTGGTATTCGGAAGAAAAGAATAAGCTATTTAAGCCTTTCAACATTCTCGATATTTACCTGCACATTTGTGTTACTTTAGTTACGAAGTACAATGGACATGAGGACATTGGCGCTGCTAGACTACCAAATGAAGGTAYTGTCCTCAAAGAATGGGAAGAATGATGAACTGACGCATTCTTATAACATAGTATTRTGATAATGGTCATTGTTTAGAGTGAGATCTGATTGGTCAAAAATGACATTATAGTTAATACAGGGATGTCTCGCTGTCGTTGTTCTTGCAGGAGGTTGATCGATATCGTACAGCGATGAGGAAGCTTGCTACTGATTTGCTGCAATTAAAACAAGACAATTCACGTCTTGAGGTAATAATTAAACATTTCAGCAATTATTGCAAGTTTTATTAATTATTTTATTGTTTTCATTTTATCATTAATATCTCGAACTTGCCCGAACGTACTCTTCTACACATTAATATACATTGTATTGATTATAGCTATAACAACACTTTGATACTTTTAGAATAGTGTTTCAATTTTTATGGATTCCATTTGTTTCCTTTAATAGATAAATATTTTTAATAATTCATCAGACCCCAGGGGGATCAGACCATTTTCCCATTTTGTGTTTGGTTCATAGATTCATTCCCATCCRTCTGTGAAACAATTAMTACKAGTCAGTGTTTAATAGTAACTATTAGGGTGCAGTAGGCTACCAAAAGGCCAAATCAAACCGTTTTTGCCTATTTTGTTTATCGCATGTCATAAGTTAAACTATTGGGAGCTATTTCACAGACGGATGAAAATGACTCATTTTTTCAATAACGTATTGCTGGAGATACGTAGAGTTGTTCATTATGACTCTAACATTGTTGTCAATCCCGTGTCAATTTACTATTGCTGACTGCATTTCCCAGAAAAACATAATTCCAGCCCCATGACCTTCATTTAACTTGGGTTCATTTTATTATTTTATAAAATACTATTTGAGAACACGTTTAAATGTGATTATTACGAATGGTTGTTTTTTCGTTTTAAGGAAGCTAACAGCCAGTATCGCCGTGATTTGAGTCAACACGATGAAATATCTCGCATGATGGTATCAGCCAATGATTTGGACAACGTTACGCACAGTGAACTCATACAGAAGTTCGGTAAGGTTGAAGACTTGTCTATCACTAGTCCTGTTGCTTGCATGTAAACCTTTGACTACTTACATCATTTCCAGTTCTACTTAAAAAGAAACTTTCCGATGAAACAACAAAAAGACAAGAATTGCAGAAAAGAACACAAAAACTACAGAATGACTTAATTAAGGTATTCACAAAAATCATCTTTTCAATGTATTGTGATAGTTGAACATGAAAAACGCATTCTAATAGTCTCCTTCACGGTTACGTGCGCCATCTTAAAAGGTAGGCGTGCCTTTACATCGAAGCGGGACAACCGGTGAGCGTGCATTRATAGATACCTGTGAATAATTGTGTGTAGGTGTAAAAGAAGTAAGTYGCACGCTCAACGGTYGTCTYGCTTCGATGCAAGAGCTACCTTTCAAGATGGCGCAGGTAACCATGAAGAAGGCTTTAAATGTCATTTCCAGCAACGCAGAGGTCATGGATTTGATTTCCGTTGAAGATCTAATTTATTTTGCACCTATCTATTACCTCGTAATTCAAAACGTTTCTCGTGTTCTCCCAACAATCCCGCGTGTTTCACAGAGAGTGGAATCAAATACCTTCTAATGCGTAAAGGCCCATATGCATCCAGGAACCTTTGCGCGATATTTTCACATACCAAATTATAACCATCTTTACATTTGAACCAATCGGAAAGNGTTGAGGCTAACCCTGTATTCCCAGAAGGCTCATACCTTAGGTCTCATGGGAATACAGGGTTAGTCTCAACTCGGGGAAAATGCAAATTTTGAAGTCTATTGTAATAAAGACATTTTCTCGTGCTCTCTTTTGTGTTTGGTCAGGTCTTTGCGCAAGAGAATCTGTTGTCAAATAAAGCAGCGGTTTTGCACTATGAATTAAAAAACTGGAGAATTATAACCATCTTTACATTTGAACCAATCGGAAAGCAACATCCAACAACAGACAAAAAGACGATCGCAAAGATTCATGGATGCAAGTGGGACATTGAAAAAATCTCATTGAAATACCATCATAAAGCACTTGCATGCATGCTTATTGATCTATTTTGAATAATATGGTTTTAGAAAAACGAGAAAGAAAAGAGTTTGGTTAAACTGGAGGAAGCACATGAGAGTCAACAGGCATTAGTACAGAAAATGCAGGTAAAATAAKGGATATTTCACCGRCCAGACATCAAATTGAGTTTCCATAAATGARCCTTGAATTACTTTGAGGCTTTTGTGAGTTGAATTTACWATTTCTGAAGAATTGCAATACAGTAATRAAARCATCATCTTGGAAGTCTGTAGTTGTTGAGACGCTTCCATCGGCATAACSTCATGAAACATTACCCGGTTTTTTACTGTCGAATACTTTTGGAATTAATTTTGTGGTTTGTAAAAGTAGACAAGTAGTTAAGAATGTGTTTTCCATTGATTTCTTGTAATCTAGTTAATCGTTTATCAATAAAACGCAATGGCAAGTACTCATTTTGATACTGTAATATCCACAAATCAACAGCAATGCAGGCACCATGAGATAATTTTAGCAACATTTGAATTTTCAGATAAAACTCCAAAAGTATAAATCTCTCCAAGAAACGTGTAAAAAACAGGAACAGGTATTTATTGTTTCTTCTTTTAATTGTGTTCCCGCAGTGGTGTTTTTGCTCTCCCTTTTTTATTTGCTTATTGCCTTCTATGTTTTATTCCGTCTTTTTCCATGTTTTGTTTGACTTGTTTTGTTTTCTAAAAAATTGCCTAGCCTTCTCCGCAGGCATCACTAAGAATCACGGGCTTCCTGTCTTTTTTGAGGAGTCAGAAGAGGGGGAATCGGGCGAGACTTGGGGGAGGCTTAAATTTGCCAATTTGTRCTACAACATTTGGGTCAACAATTTTCACGGTATTCTTGCAGGTTATAGTTGAACTCGAAAAGCTGCTGTCCAAGGGAGACAATGGCGTAAACCTGTCCGGTAATCCACGAGTTTTATTCTGCATAAGTCGTAGTTTATCATATTTTTTGTGTCTGTAAACAATGATTTAATAACATTTCAGATCCAAGTAGCMAAAGCAGAGTTTATATCGAAGAAAACGTACGGCTAAGATTAGAGCTTGAAAAATTAAAAGTACGTCTCTCTACCTATCAGCATGTAGTATTTTTAAACCTATACCACTATAATCATCTGTACTGATTGACTTGTATTATCAGGGATTGGCGAAAGGAACTGATGCTAAAAATGATTCAGCGAGGTATGTACCATATATGAAAGGAATACTTCATTAAGTCTTATCCTGATGTCACAAAATCACTTCGTAATCATTTCCATCGTGAGTTCCTTCATCGTTAACGATCATTGGTCTTTTTTACCTTGCGGCGAGTTCAAAGCGAGAGAGACGATGTCGAGCACATAACCGAAAGCTATTAGTAGTGAATTTGGGTACTTGTCAGATTCAACGTTTGAATCAAGCCAAAAAAGGCTGCACTTGACGGCTGTACCTAAAATCTAACATTATCATTTGTATCTATCATAGAATTATTTAATTATTTATTATTATTCTTTTATCTTATTGCTTTGTTCTCTTCAGAAGGCCCAGTGTAAGATTAGTTTTAACTAGACAGTTTTAACTAAACTGGTGTAATTTTTAATTACTTTCTAAACCTTCTTTAAATAAAGTTTATTATTATTATTATTTATTATTAGAATGACAACTCCTAGCCAGGCAAAAGACTTAGATAATTCTGAAAGACTAGAATTGTATCAGAAACTGGAGCGAGCGGAAGGACGAATACTTGGCTTAGAGCAGCAGGTAAGATGTCAGTAGATTTTTGTTTTTTACATRTTKTCATGATTATACCACTTGCACGTATAGATTRTTATATCGAAGCGCATCGGTTTTTTGGTAATAACCGCTGTGTYTAGTGGGGTGTCCTTTCTCTGAGCGATTAGAAAATAAGAAAACGTATTTTGTCTGTGGTTCTAGACTAGAAATATCAGCACACCGTTTAAGTAAACAGAGCTATCCGATAGTAAGCTTAGAATTGCCCTATGGATAAGTTTACATGTAACGTCCGAAAGCCTTCTTTCCATTTKATAACAGAGCTCACAGGGAGTGCCGTTCCCAAAACGAACTCGTTGAGAATAAAACCTGCTACAACATGGCCTTCTAAATCTGAAGTCAAACGATTTGTGCTGCTGTTAGTGGTTTGTTACATATCTAACTTGACTGACTTTTTAGTTRACAGAAAGTGCAAGAAAATGGGCGAAGGAAAAAACCACATTACAGGCAAGATTAACCTCTTCAAATTCATGAATGATAAATTATTATAATATATTATAAGAAAAAAAATAACCAGCGTCATAATAGTATCTTAATATATCATTATCAATCAAACTTTTGCATGAATTGACCAGGTTTTGTTTTGAATTAATACAATCAATATCATCCATATCAATATCATCCATAATAGAGTGGTTTTCATTAACCCCTGAAGCAAAGTCCAATATTTGGAAAGTTAGAAATGTAGGTACTGATAAAAAAACATCTTTTTCAGGCCAGACTTAACGAGGCGTTAATAGAAAAACAGTCAAGATTTCACAGTTTCGATGAAAGTAAAATCATGGTAAGATGTTGCCATAATCTACCATTGATCTCGGTCAATCCGTTGATCCCCGAATAACGATAGTGATCGCAATTCATCAAGGACCATGAAATACTATAAAAAGTTAGGGCTTAGACTTGAGCTTTTAAAAAAGACCATTCGGGCGAATAGACATCTGAACGTTTTACGTAACTACTTGATGCATTGTGGGATCAGTTTCTAAAAAAAAAGAATTTCGCCATCGTCTGTCACAATGCATTGCGTATACGGTACATCACGTAAAAGGTTTAGAAGTCTATTAGGCAGGGGATCTGATTTAAGAGAGCACAGGAAGTCTACGTAATCTACTGCTGACTTCATGAACTTGTTTTACAGCATGATGTGGGCTCAAGTACCAACGTCACTTACAGAGACCAGCGAAAATCCTCTCTAAAGCTTGATCCGCTTATACGGCGATAGCTCGTGTGAAGAGGTCAAATACCAACAACTGTCTGAATTAGGAACAATGCTARAATGATTAATGGTATTGTATTTATTGCTAATCTGTACAGCAAGAGTAGTCTTACTATATTCAACTAGGCATTTATTATTTATAGTAAAAGACCAATAATAAATCGGTGTGCTATATTTTCACATGTTTGAAAGTGATACATCCAATCACAAGCTCGTATGTCTATCTCTCACAATATCTGAAAATATAACCAATCATAACACACAAGAAGAAAATGTAATCAAGCAATACTAAACCTACGTTTACAACACGTGTTGTTGTATAATACAAGCCACTCATGGACATAGTCGCCTTCAAAGCACTTTCCATGAAATAACCTAAATCTATTTGACAACCAGCCATTCCGATGCGCTTGCAACTATTACTCCATTCAGTCTCCATACTCCCATAGACCCTTTCGGTCATCTTCATTCGTTTTTTTTTTCTTCTTAATATTAAACTGTGTATGTTGCATTAAATCTCGGTCCATACGTCGATCCACAACGTCCTGAACCAAGTACGGTTTGAATTTCAAACGATCATTGATGAGGTTTTTGTGATAATCCGAAATAATCAAGATTGGGGCAAAATTGGGGCAGTCGATCACACAGAGAAAAGCCGACACAATCCGAAGTACGTTGGCATGTGCTGGCCTGGCGCGAGTTTACTATACCCMATGAGCGTACTCGTTAGAATTCAAAACTAAACATCCAATAAGAGCGAAGCACATATATCTCGGTACACGCGACACAATCTTCGTCGCTGAGACTAACATAACAGATGCAGGCTACAAATGCCAAGCTATCGTCAAGCCGAACTTGCAAAATATACTWCCCATACTTTTTTACGGTGTTAAACTTWTYTTTTTTACACAACTGYTTGCAAAATATATMTTTTTCGACAGAAATAGTAGATGTAAATGTTTTAATTRACCTTTTCTTATGTTTTAAGCTGCATTCCTGATTCCAACCAATATTTTCAGTTTCAATAGACCTCTGCAGCTTTCACGTCATGTACCGTATACGCAATGCATTGTTTGGGACAGAACATGGCGGATTTCTTTTGTTTTCTATAGTGAAACGTAACTGATCCCACAATGCATTGAAAATCAAGTATTGACGTAAAAGGTTCAGAAGTCTATTGGCCATTGCAGGCTTTCTCCGTAACTAAAAATCATCATAGCTACGGATTAAATATTATAAAAGAGTTATGCAAAATTTCCAAACACAAAATCATAGCTGAATGTTGCCAGTTCAGTTTTTTTCTAACGAAAATCCCATCTTTTTTAACTCAAAATGACGTGTCATTTTTTGAGTCAATTGATCTGAAAGGCGATGTATGGCTGTAGAAATAATACAGAGTACCCATCGGAATCGCTAAGCAGCTGTCATCTGTTTAAATCATATTGATTTCCGCTGAAAATTAGTAGGAAAAAGACATCGTCTATAATACGTTTGGTCGGGTATAAATTGAACAGGATTCAAGATAGCCAGTTCAGTATTGCATCATGTAAATAAAACTGTAAAAGAATTACTGAACCCCTGTCCAGCAAAAGTCAAAAAAGATATTTGAATAGCGACACTATATGAAAGTGGAAAACGCGATCTGACAGCTTTATACATTAAATTTGAAGTAAAACGATAACCGTATTCAAAGTAACATATTTAAATAGAATARACAAAACTTATTTGTACAGGCGCTGCTCCATATGATTACAGTAGGTTTCGCATCAATAAAAGTAAAAGTTAGATCATGTCTCTTGTATTAAGTTGAAGCTAAACTGTTTCTTTCAACTGATGTCTTCTAAAACAAATTCATATCCAGGCTACGACGGCTACAATACTTATTTGAGTTTTCATTTGATTGCACAGGAAAATAAACACACTCGGAATAAAAGCTTAAAACATTAAAACTGTGCTGATTACCCYTTCTCATTCACATATTTGATTTGAAATAATTAACTGGTAAAATCGATGGATTACCGGTCTTACTTTTTATCAAGTCTTCAGGCACCAACAYCGCACTTTATAGTAAAACTACTGTAGGGGCTGAACATAGCAATAACCGGAACCACGCTAGACGTCTGACTACTCTACAGCGACAACGAACGTTATGATTTAATTGCCAAAGCCAATACGGCGATAGAAGTGAGAGCGACTATATATTAGTAATACCATGATTACCTTGGATTCCATTGTCTTCCGAGGGGTTTACAAACCCGAATTTCTCTCATGAATAACATGAGGGAAATTTAGAAGACAAAGGATTCTTTTGTCTTTTACTAAATTTCTCTCTATTTAATTTATGCTAGGGAAATTTAGTACAAGACAATACAATTCCACAAATTTYCCCTCGGTTTCGGGGAAATTTAATTACTAATTTCCCTCGTTCCATGGTATTACTTATAAATATCATATAGATATACGTATATCTATTTGATATCTAAAGTATTCCCAATAGCGTAAAAAAGGGAAACAAGAATGCGTGAGGTTTTACTTGTCAAATGCCGGTCTATCAGTGCTGTTGTCCCGGTTCGATTTCTTGTACCGGCCTATGTCATATTTGAGTTTGTAAGCTGAGGTTCTCTATCTTGCTCCAATGAACCACTTATCACCGGCATGGTATTCTGATATTACTCCCTCAGTCAAAACTAGCTGAAAGGAGTGTCTATGCTAAGGGAGTGTCTATGCTAAGGGAGTGTCTATGCTAAGGGAGTGTCTACGATCAAGGAGTGTCTATGCTAAGGGAGTGTCTATGCTAAGGGAGTGTCTACGACCAAGGAGTGTCGTATGCTGCAATCAACAATGTTAAAGTGGCATGAATGGGTCAGACTTGTTGTCTTCAGACTAAAGCGATTGAAACGTTAAGAAAGTTAGTTATATTTGTTTATTCTTGATATTTTTTATGAGCTGTGCGTATATTCGGTTGAGTGAATAATGAGCTTTTCACGCATGAAGGCATGTAGAAGCCAAACTACCCAAGTTCGCTTTCGTTGTTGGTTGAGATTTGATTGTTGCAACGACACAGGAACTGTACTCGTAAGATTTCTCTTTTTATTTCGCGCATACGAAACGCGTAGACGACAGGATTGACGAGTGAGTTGCCGTAATGGAGGAATTTCGCTGAATAGTAAAGAAAGGAATGATTTCTTGGTTTACTTACTAGCAGCAAACATTGGTAAGGTAGCCACATGAGCAGGCTAAGAATAGTAACAACACCAAGAGTGACAGTTAGTTTCTTGTTCTCTTGGATGGTTACATCGAGAGCTCGAGTAGCTGAACAACGGACTTTCAGGACGATGAGGGAATAAGCACCAGAAATAACCACAAGTGCGAAAATAATAAATACCGTCTTGATGGCAGAGCGGGTTTTTCTTTCCATGACATTGGAAAACACAATTGGACCAACTGCGATCAATGGAGCTGTCCACATCAAAACTATCCCGATGATGAACGGACCTTTACCTAATGTGGAGTGTCTGAATGGAAAGTATGTTGCATGTGCTCTTTCTATGGCCAACACTGCTAACCCAATTAAAGAAGCTTTTCCAAAGAAAGTATCGAGTATCAGAAACACTTTTGCAAACAAGGAATCTTCATTTAGTCTATATAAAGTGAACATGGGAACAGACACAAGACCAACGAAGAGATCAGCTACAGCCTGGTTGATAATCATAATGTACTGTTTKCTGTGAAGACGTCGTGTTCTGGTGAATATGACGATTGTTGCAGCATTGGCTGCTGTAATGGCGACCGCTTCCAGTATAAATAACCATATATAGTTCCACATCAGGGGACGATAACAAAGCAAGTTTACACCAATGGCCTCGAGGAAGGTGCTAAAAAGGTCCTAATTATAGTTGATCTTGGATAGCTCAGTTATTCTCGCGAATTGAAGTTTCAGTGGATACATCAGCTTGGCTCTGAAAAATTGAGTCCATTTCCAAGAATACTTGCTTGCTTATTGATGTGCATTTGATCAGTTGTCTGAGCAGCTCTTTTTAATGAATTTTACTTAAACAATTGATAACCCACCACCTGCATCCGATTTAAGCTACTTAAGCAATCCAATATCGAGCCATACCGTACACCTAATAATGTGAAAGCTGTCATGTGATTACAGCGACCAGGTGATTCAAGTCAAAATATCAATAGTAATATTCAAAAGCTCTTGCTTGTGACAATAATTAAATGAAACATTCGAGTAAGACACAAAACACTCAGTGTGTTGGTTTCTAAAACCAACGGAAAACACCTATCAATATGCTAAGTAATTTTAACTAAAGCATTGATTGGTTCACTAATATTTGGCGGAAGTACAAAACAAATAAATCCTTATAAATCCTCTGGGCGCTATATAGGGCCGAGATTTCGAAAGGAAATGTGCAGCGACGCCATTTCGTACAACATAATGGGATTTGTAGTCCTCTTCTTCTTCTTCTTCTTCTTCTTCCTAGTACCCGGCCGTCTCTTTCTAACTAGAAAATCCTTACGGGGGGTCTTAAAACAAAAACAAAAAATTGAATTGTCAAGTTGTAATGTCAAGAGATCCCCTGAAAATATCGATGCTCGATATGTTAATGATGTCTTCGGGTAGGGAGTTCCACTCCCTAATCGTTCTTRGAAAGAAGGAGTATTTGTKGTAGTCCRTTCTTGAGRRCATATTCTTTAAGGCTTTGCTGTTGGTATGCCTACTCCTCCATTGCTTTGGTTCAAGTGTAGGTAGGCCATCATTTGCAATGAGGGCATGGATAATTTTGTACATCATCACGAGTCGATTTACCTTCCGTCTATGTTCAAGTGAATTCCATTTTAGGCTTTGAATCATTTCCGTAACACTGGATGTTCTCCGATAGTCCCTGCATACAAAACGTGCAGCACGTCGTTGGATCTTCTCAAGTTTGTCGATGTTTGTTTTTGTATATGAGTCCCAGACCGATGCAGCGAACTCGAGTATAGGTCTAACCAGACCAAAATAAGCTTGGGTCTTTATCTGACGCGAATTAACACGTAGATTACGTCTGGGAAAGGCAAGGGTATTGTTTGCTTTCGTGGTTATGTTATTAATATGTGTATTCCAACATAAATTGGCAGAGATGGTTACACCTAGATACTTTGAGCTATCAACGGATCGTAGGGTTTGGCCATGTAGGATGTAATCTCGTTTGACAGGTAGGCGTTTACGTCCAGCATGGATGACTTCGCATTTTTCCGCGTTAAATTCCATATCCCACAGTTTTTCCCATTCGGCTAGCTTATCGAGATCATTTTGTAGAGCATCGRGGTCATGATCAGATTTGATAGCTAGATATGCAATARTATCGTCAGCAAATAGTCTAACCTTTGAAAGGAGATTCTTGGGCAGATCGTTTATGTACAATAAGAAGAGGCATGGTCCAACTACGGAGCCTTGTGGTACGCCAGATAGGACATCTACTTCACTGGAAGTAACACCATTCAGCACAACTTGTTGTTTCCGTTTGGATAAGAAAACTTGAATCCAGTTGACAGTTTTTGGACATATTCCGTAATATTTCAGCTTGTAGATAAGATGACGATGGGAGACTTTATCAAAAGCCTTACTGAAATCCATCACAAGAATATCAGTTTGTAAGCCATCATGAGTGTTAGTAATGACGTCATGAATAAAACCTAGTAGTTGGGTTTCGCAAGATCTTCTGCCTCTGAATCCATGTTGGAGTGGGTAGAGAATTTGGTTGTTGTTTGCATGCTTCATAATACAGCTAGTTATTATGTGCTCCATTAACTTACTGGCGATACATGTAATAGGATAGGTCGATAGTTACACGGGTTGTATTTAGAGCCTTTCTTGAATACATGTACTGGTATTACATTGGCACGGTTCCAATCAAGTGGTGTTTCTCCTGAGTCGTATGATTTCTTGTATAATACTGTAAGAATGCGTGAGGCTGGCCCTTTTAGTTCCTTAAGTACTCTCGGCACGATACCGTCAGGACCTGGCGATTTATGGACTTGCAGCTGGTCTAGAAGATGGTGGACTCCTTCTCTTGAGATGTTGATCTCGTTCATGATGGGATAATTTGATAGTCCTCGCACTCTAGATAGTCTCAATAATCTTCCTATAAAAGCGGAACTCATATGTTATCTGTAGGAACTGCATAACTCAGCATAAACACCATTAAACAGCGAGGTCCGTACAAATGATCGAGAGCCAAATATTTTCCCGAACTATCTCAGTAAATTACCATTTTATCATATGACAGCGTTTTTAAGCCATTTCGACTAACTTCAAGCCGGGAAGATACGGGTTTGTACGGCCCTGTCGCGAAAAGGCGAATCCCCCACATCACGTGACCATTTTCCAAAGTTTTTTTAAGAGCGCGCGTAGGGCCGAAATACGGGTTATTTGATAAAGTACAATACAATAGCCTTAATTTATTAATGGTAAAAGTTATAATCTTCAATTGACTTGGCACTTGTTCTTGAGGGCTGCAGAAAACATGTTGCACGCTTTACGCTTCCGTCTCAAGGAGGCTCAAAACAGTCACCAGAAAATGCATATATGGCTACTTTGAATTGATTTTATGTAATAGCGGAGCTCCATGGCAAGAAAAAGATGGTATATCCATCGAGCCCATTTTTCATGGACCGATACAGGGTTCCCGCGCATAAGCACAGTTCAGTGCTTCCGTCCTTCCGTCCTTCCGTCTGTGTTCCACCACAGGAAATCCATGCTCTGTGAGAAAATAAAAGGAGCGCTAAAATATTTGTCGAAATGTCAAAAGTCTGCCTCAAAACATTTCTCTTCGAAACTGATGATATTTGAAAAATTAGTATCACATGCAAAAAATCCACAGTCAAAGCACAGAAATATTCCCGCTAATTTTGTAATAATAAAAGTAATTACTATGCGTTTACAAATCCGGGAAATCGGTATGCAAAAGAATGAAAAGCAACTTACTTCCAATCGTTTTCATGCTCACCTTTAGCCATAAGAAAAGATTAGTAAGGGAGGGGTGGTTCAGGCCAATTGTATGTTCAGGTGATGGAGGGGTGGTACAATGATTAATGACGTCATCACACAGGAATCCCAATATGATAAAAGTTGTATAGTTAATGACGTAATCACACAGGTGTCGCAACTAACACGGAAAACCTACGAAGGTTTGCGAAGAATAACGAAAATTAATCTGCGAAAAAGCGAGTAATCACGAAGTTATCCCGAATTATATTCAAACCCACGCACTCCAGGCGATAGCATAGTGGCTTAAGCCTCGTTCCGAGGCACTAGCCACAAAAATGAAAACAGATGGCTTTTTTCGCTTTAATATTTCCGTTGTCAACAAAAAAAATGATGCTGTATTGAAAGTACTGTACTGCAAAATATGGATAACAAAAACGATCTGTGTGAACTCTTTTTGGGCGAAAAGTGTGGATATATTGAAACCAAGGCAGTCTTTTCTTTAAAAATAGTCTCCTTCCCAGCTACGCCCAMCATCTTCAAAGGTATCCGTGCCATTACTGATTACATCGAAGCGAGACAACCGTTGAGCGTGCAATGATAGATACCTGTGAATAATTTTCTGTAGGTTTGAAAGAAGGTTTCTATCATTGCACGCTCAACGGCCGTCTTGCTTAGTTGAAAAGTCACGGCTACCTTTAAATCGATGAAAATCGTTTCTTTTTTTAGATAAGTAGTTTCAGTAGTTCCGACGATGAAAAACGGATATCCAGAATTTTCGCGGCATTTTAATGACGAAAATCGAAAGTTAAAGAATGTATCAAGGTCTTCTGTTGTTTCTGATCTTCATCTGTTTCTTTGTCTCTTCATCCGATATAACTTCTGTTTCGTTCTTGTTTCCTTCATCTGTTTTATTTTTTTATTTTTCATCTGTTTTTTTTTTCGATGTATTCTTCTGTTTCTTTTCGTTTTTCTTTGTTATTCCGTTCGATAAATCAAAACAAATAACAACTGCCGAGTCTTGAAGCCATCTTTTCGTTGCCTTTTTTCCAGGTTTTTGGGGCACGTCTAGTAATCTTGGTCTTGGCTTGAATCCTAAGAGCAGCCATTCGAGCTTTTCGTTAATGCTTTTGGCTCTGTTGACTTCGTTGGTCTCTGTTTCAATATCATACTCAATAGACRCTGGTGAAAAACGCACTGCGCATGCACACAGCTTTACCGCCAGTGAGCTCGCGCGTCTGGAAATCTGTAAACAGAGCGCCTGGCGATTTACAGCGACAACACAGAAAACACTACGAAAAACCTCATTTTCTCAAAATAGAAATGACAAGATAAAAATAGAAACTACATACTAAAAGGACCTATCATGAACAATGATTGATAGTATGAATCTTATATATCCGTGAACGAGCTTATAAATTGTAAAAAACTTTCACAAAAATCGCTTTACAAAGGAAATTAGGCAGATTTCAACGGAAAGTTGTGGACATGCGCAGTGCGTTTTTCACCAGTGTCTACTCAATATGTTGTTTTCCGTTTTGTGTTGTTTTCCATCCCTGGTTAAATATTATACTCAATATGTTGTTTCCCGTTCTGTGGAAACCTGGGTTATCTGTTTGGTGTTTTCTGTTATATTTGTAACGTCGGTCCTTATGTACTCTCCTTATGTCTCTTGGCTTGTCCCTTTTTTATGTAAAAAAATGTGATCATTTATCTTTCTTTCGTATGTCAGTAAAAGATGTTGTGTTTACATTACTGGGAACAGCGTACATCTACTAAAGGCTATACTTGAAATGAAATATTAGTGCCACATGATCATACTCTTCTATATCACTATTATTTGTATTACAACTATGTATTTGAGTCATATATCACCTTAAAGGGACTCTCTGATACATATTTTTATAAATCATCACTTTTGATGTTGTCATGACAACGCCAGACCTCTGTGAAAAAGACCCTTAATTCATTTATATATGATATATGTTAACATCTCCGTCGTATTACCCCGATGAAAACGTCTATAGACTTAAAAAAACACACACAAATTTACAAAATGTATTTTTTGCGATAGAAAAACTTTTTTATTACATTATTTTTCAGTTTAAGATCAGTCTGCTTTCATCAGAATATACTGACAAAAAATTGAGAAAAACTACCATTTTATTGGGGGGTGGGGAGGGGTTTATAAATAGGGTTTTGTATATTTGCTATACGGGGACGTGCCGCTGGCCAGGGTATGGTTTTCGGACTTGCTGTCTTAAACAGGGTATACATTTCACCCGAAATTATCTTAAACAGGCTCTACAATTTAGATAAAAGACCGATATAATTTATTTTGTGTCTTGGACAGGGTAATATTTTCATAAGAAATACCGTAGAAATACCGTTTCACTGTACCAGGATTAACGTGTTATCAAAAACTTCTTATTGTCCTTTATGGACGCCAGTACAATTGCAGTTTTGATGGTTGCGGCGTAGATWGCKATTCCTTATTTTTCCGATTTGTCTTGAACAGGGTATGGATTTTCACTTTCTAGTGTCTTATAAACAGGGTCAGGGTTTTAGACCGCTGGCGGCACGTACCTATCCAAAACGGGGCATTCTTCACACTTTCGTGAAATTATTTTTTGGAAAAATTGGATGCGCGTTAGAGTAAAGTTCATTCATTTAAATAACAGTTGAGATTGACCCAAAATAAACACTGTAAAATAAATTTTTGATTTTGAAAACTTTGAACTGGCTGAGGAATGCAATTCAGGAATTTCCTTTTATTTCAAATTAGTTAATATTTCGAATATGTTTGACTCCCAGACAAAATTCTTTTGGCATGAATATAAATGGATGTCATATCAAAAATGGCATACTATTAGTAATGCAGCTGTTTATAGTGAGACTAGGGCTTTTTCATTTACAGAACACTTGATTATAGTATTGCATTATTTTGTCTCCCAAGACGAAATTCAATTGGCAATATGGATGTTATACATGGCATACATGTCATGCTGTCAGTAGTATAGCCCTGATATCATCTATCTCTGTCGTTAATAAAACCATTATGAGTTAACGCCGCCAGCATACAAATGCAGCTATTAACTATTAATCATTATTACCTGTTTTAGAAAACCCTGGAGGTATAAGCGACGTTCTCTCTTTTTTACAAGTTTCAAAATGAACTTTTGGAAAAAAGGGAAATCAACTGTTCACCCATCCTTTCTTGAGAGACAACTAGCAGTCATTCTACTTTGAATGAAGTTCATCCAAATATTGCTAGTCAAACTTTAACAAGCTTTCAGTATAATTGTCAATCATTTATAGCTCTTAAAAGAGTCTTCCCCTACCATGAGTAGAAAATAGATTTAATCCGTCTCATTTTGTAAATAAGAATTTCATCTTTATTATACTTGCATTGTAGGATATAAATAGTTATAGTTAAAAATTTTATCATTATTATCCTTCATGTAGTATATAATAGTTTTAGTTTTAAATACTAGACTGATTCGTTTTAAAATCCACATTTTCTAACTATTTATTCTTGTAAATATCATGCAATTGGTCTTTTTTGCTGCCATATGATTTTCTTATTAAATCTATCTTTTTATCTCTCTATCTATCAATCTATCTAGGCTAACGTTTTCCTTTTCCCTTCTCGTCAATGTTAATTCATTTACATTCTAATTTACATGGTACCTATTCATGTCTGTTAAACTGCTACCATGACAGTAATTTATTTTCATCGAACTGGCGAGAAAAAACTGCCAAAATTTTGTACTTTAAGGGCTTGTTCACAATACGACATAAGCATGTCGAACAAAAGAAAAGACAAACGAATGAAGTCAAGCATGCATCGATATAAGCATATTTTTTGATTATTTCATAACTTTTCGTACAAGAAACGAAATTATTTTTTTGCATATCAGTGCATTTAGAAATTTGTTCTATAAATAATATTCAATGTCTATCACCAAAGAAAAATTCACGTAATTTTTCACTTTTAGGGCTCGACTATACGCCTCTAGTACTACCATACTAGTGGACTATTGCAAAAACTTCTGATTGGCTACGCAAAATAGTCCTCAACTAACGAAAAGCGACAACGTTTTACGTATTTTTAGCAATAAAAACACTTAGTTATTTCTATATTTCATTCAGTTTTTGTCCAACTAGTATGGTAACACTAAACCAGAATATATGAAGAAATTGATTGTTACAAATAGGAGGAGGATTAGTGATTATTAGCGAGACATCTGGTTCACATACGATTGTCTGCTTCGTCCATAATAAAACAGAAATGTTTAACCTGCAAGTTGATGTTTTGTCTTACATCATTCTAATTTACACATTGTGTAGAGGCAGCTGGTATTGCTTTTTTGAGAATAATCAATCTTTAAGAGCAGCAATGTCGTTTTTTTCCTTTTCTTTAAGTTCAAAACTAATTGCACAAGACGAATTTGTCACTTCTTCGAACAGATAATTCATACTACTCGTTAATAGTATAGGGCTGTCTCAAAATGGATGCAATTGTAAGATCACGCTAGCTAGCATGCAATTGCTTCCAAATAAACACCTGTGTTAATAGACCCACAGGGCTTGCATCAAAAAATTGGTTTTATTTTGTACGTCTCAGTTCGTTCAACTAGTACACTCCAACTCTTCAATTTTTAACTATCTATTTACAATGCATGATATATAGTGCTGTTGTTGACTGCCATAACTTGTATATACCCCACTCCAACTCAAAGTAGATAACATATTAAGGCATATGTCTGTGTCAATTAGTAATTCACTGTCCCACCTTTATTAAGCAATAGTCTGTTAATATAAGCGATTCCGAAAATAGTGCTCGCAAATAAGCATACCGTTTTTTAGATCACAATGCTAGTTCTTAGTGCCTAAATATGGCGCTTTCACAAAACGAAGTGTAATTAATAGAAGCAAATTGTAAGGAGGTGCAAAATAAAGAAAACACAAAGAAAAACGTGTAAGATATCAAGGGTAATAAGAGAGTAATGCCCATTTAACGAATGAAATAGTTATAGCATACTCTGCAATCCTCTCAGTCACATCTAATTACTGTTTCACAATTACTTTAATAACTTCAGTCATGACGAGCAATAACTCTAACAAGAACTTCAGAGAACTTTGCTCAATAACAAAAAAATGCAATAAACCATAGAAACCGTTGAAAGTCAAATAAGACAGAATATAGCCACACACCATATAAGTCTACTTAATGTTAGACATTTCAGTGCTATATAGCTAACGGCAATTGATATACCACCGACTGACTCATGCTATTAAGCTATTTCTTTCTTTTCTTTTAATTCTTTACCGGCTCTAGAGAGAATTCAAAAATGACCAATTCAACCTGAATTATTTTAGACGACGACCTTAGATGATATCGTGTTTTAAGATCGTCGGTCCTTCTGCCAAAATGGCGGTCGCTTATTAGTTTTTGCTAGTCAAAGAAATGCAAAATGTCTCCTGAAATTATTAAAGTATATCATCCCCTATGGGAAGCTCTCCCATAGAGATCTCGGATTATTATTTTTTTTATTGCTTAGCTTGCAAAGAAATTTATAGCCAGCTGGCACAATCCCCTATCATGTTATATTCAGCATTTGACAATTAGTATAATGTTATACACGTAATTCAAAAACGTTGCAGAGTCGCACAGATAATTATATATTCCCAGCTTACATCGAAGACATTGAAGACATATTGGACTATCTATAGTACATTATAGCATGACTTATTTCATTCAAGTGTGGCAATCGTTTGGCACTGAAAAACGATATAAATGTAATAATGCTTAAAAAATTGATTTCCCATGCTTCCTTTCGGCCTTTTCATAACTAAATGCCAGAACTCGTGACACGCGCACTTGAAATTCGACATCGCCAATAGATGAGCATCAAATGATTATAAAATACACTAGGAGGTGACGTCGGCCACAGTAAAGAAAGCGAATAGCATGTGAAGTGTGGAGCATCCAGGTTTCTCCGCACAACAAAATTATGTCTTTTCCTCTGTTGACAATTTTGTTTCTAACGGTGGTACTTCAAGCTTCAGCCCAAACAAACAGTGCAAGTAAGTAGTGTTTTTTTTTTCCACAATTTAATATATGTAACTGAGGCGTTCGATGTGTGATCGTAAATTGCTTCTCGGCAGTATTATTATCAATTCCAAGAAAGATTCATACCAAAAATAGATTGAAATGGAAGTTGCTTTTCGCATTAAAAGTCTAGGTGATCACATTTTTTCAGTAATAAAGACTTGGTGATTATTAGTCTCATTTTAGGGCGGAAAGAAAATTTGTATGAACCAAAGTAGATTCGGCGACTTTAAATTTTATGCAGCAAACAAATGCGTTTTAATTTACAAACATTTCAGTGAAAACCTTATTCAAACCTCACAGACATAGCTTTTATCGATATCATTTTTGAGCATACTGCTTAATTTGTCGCGTGCAAAAATGAAGCGGAATGAAGCCGTACAATTTTGAGAAACTTGACTTTTGATATTGTTTGATGTGCTGCGAAATTTTAAACTTGGATCAGTATTTCAAGTGCCTTTACTTAAAACAATAAAACCACCCTCCCCTTCCTCTAGACAGTATAATTTTAAGGTGGGAACTAGCGGTAAAATAGTGTGAGCTGCGTCGGTGTTTCTAAAGAAACAGTTGTGTAAAAAGATAAATTTAATACTGCAAAAAAAAAAAAATTATGAGAAATAACTTACTGACGTTTCGGAGGTTAATCCTTCGTCGGAGTAAAGAGGTATAATTTTATGACTTCTTTTTTCGCGGCAATCAAGTTGTTTTTAATGTGAAAAGAAACTTTTAATCTAGTAGTTTTGGCAGGAAAATTTCTTTTACATTGATAATATTGCCGAGACGCATTTACGATTAAACGGTGCGTCAATAGGATTAGTATAGGTAATAAGATGGTTTCGCTCGAGTTCAATTTGGAATTAATTTGCACGAGTTTGTTTTTCAAAGAGGCCATAATTGCGTGAGGCCGTATGACCTATTAATAATATACATGAAAAAATTGAAGCCAAAACTGACAAGGCTAGACAAGGAGCCAACGATAAAAACGACATAAAATGAAAACTAGCAAGCTTGAAACTTCACAAATACAAAGTTTTCAGTTACAAAGAAAGCTTGATTCTTATTGGCTGAAAACATTTCTTTTGTTTCTTAGCCAATAAAAAGCGCAAATTTGTTTGTAATTGAACTGATATTACAGCTTTTTGCACTGTTCGATCTGTTGTAATTGCACTGTAGAAATGTAATTGCACTGAATTAAGAATTAATTGAGATGCTATCAGCCAATCAGAATTTAGTAATTTTTTCATGTATATTTTTATAGCCAGTAGAGTCGCCTTAAGATTAATTACTTATAACAGCTATACATTTTAGCCAGAAAATGTCATGGCGACTGCTTTGTTATGTAGGCAATAGTGATAGCAAAATACATCAAAGCTTCTATGAAAAATATGAAAACTTCAAAATATCTCAATTATACTTACTGCGACCAGATATGTCATGGCCATATAAATGATTTAAAAACACAAAGCGAAGGAAGCGAAAGTTTTGAATAACGACTACGAAAACATTTTCATCGAGCGCGATCCGGACAAGGATCCATTTTTTCTACATCTGCACAGTCATACCAAACATATTGATATAGGTAATAGTTATACCAAACATATTGATATAGGTAATAGTTATACCAAACATATTGATATAGGTAATAGTTATACCAAACATATTGATATAGGTAATAGTTATACCAAACATATTGATATAGGTAATAGTTATACCAAACATATTGATATAGGTAATAGTTATACCAAACATATTGATATAGGTAATAGTTATACCAAACATATTGATATAGGTAATAGTTATACCAAACATATTGATATAGGTAATAGTTATACCAAACATATTGATATAGGTAATAGTTATACCAAACATATTGATATAGGTAATAGTTATACCAAACATATTGATATAGGTAATAGTTATACCAAACATATTGATATAGGTAATAGTTATACCAAACATATTG